ACATCAAACTTATATTGATAATTCTGACGCAAATGTTCCTGACCTAGGTCCACAAACAACGTCCACTGTTATTAACGATCTTTTACTAACTGCATCTGAAACTGAAGATATTCTTAAATCTCTTAAAGTCAACAAAGCATCTGGACCAGATGGTATTAGTAATAAAATTTTGCGTGAAGCCGCAAAAGAACTCTCTATTCCTTTAACCAATCTGTTTAATCAGTCTCTATCTTGCTGTAAAGTACCAGCCTCTTGGAAGGAATCCCATGTCACTGCTTTTCTTTAAAAAAGGTGATGCATCAATCCCTTCTAATTATAGACCAATTTCACTGCTCCACACTATGGCAAAAGTTTTTGAACGACTGATCATTAAGCATTTATTTAATCATTTGAACGCGAATAGAATTCTTACGCCTGTGCAATCTGGGTTTATACCCGGGGATTCAACTGTAAATCAAAACTTGTTTATATTTATGACATACTTTGCAAAGCACTTGATGACGGTCTCGAAGCTCGAGTTATATTCTTCGACATAAGCAAGGCATTCGATAAAGTCTCGCACAAGGCATTTCTCTGTAAATTAAGATATTATTGTGTATCTGGAAAAATCTTTGAATGGTTCCAGGATTAGTTAAGCTGCAGACGCCAGTGTGTTGTTCTAAGAGAATTGCCAAATCTTCTTGGGGTGTTTCTCTCAGGCTGGTGTTCCACAAGGATCGATCCTTGGTCCTTTTACTTTTTCTCATCTACATAAATGACATAGTCCCAAGATCTTCAATCCAATGTTAATCTTTTTGCTGATGATTACCAGTCTCTAATCTTGTTATCGAAAACCCACAAACTGCAGCACAACAATTTACAATCAGATATTGAAATAATAGCTGCATGGGCAGAAAAAAATGGCTTGTCACTTTCTATCCGTCTAAATCAGAATCCCCTTATTGTCTCTAGAAAAAGACATTCATATTACCAACCACTTCACATGCTTAATCAAAACTATACCTGAAGTAAAAAGATCATAAACACTTAGGATTATTTTTGTCTCACAATTGCCTGTGGCATTCACATATAGAAATATATTAATGAAAAAGCATGGAAACGGGTGAATATAATGAGAAAAACTGAAATTCATGTTAGACCGTAAATCTCTTGAAATTATTTTATATATCGTTTAATCCGACCAATTCTTTGAATATGCGGGATGTGGTATAGGGAAACGCAATTTCAGTATGAACTTGACCTCTTAGATAAAATACAAAAATGAATGTGCTAGAATAGTGTCTGGTGCAACAAGACTAGTTTCCAATTGAAAAACTTAAAAACTGAAGTAAATTGGGAAACATTAGAACAAAGACGTTATAAACATAGATTAACATTATTCTATAAAATCAAAACATGGCATTGCACCAGTAATACTTGTTTCACCAGCCAATACCGTATCAAACAAACACTCGTTACAACCTTAGGAAAATTCAAACCGAACACTATTGGTATTTCAGCAAGGACATCTTTATACTTTAATTCTTTTTTCCCATCTTCCATTCGTGAATGGAACAACTTGCCCCTTAACATAAGGAATTTACCAACCCTTTCAAGGTTTAAAATATTATCTATCACGTATAAGAAATCTACCACCAAAATACTTTTATTTTGGTGATAGAAAACTTCAAATTCTTCACACCAGGTTACGCACAAAATGTAGCTCCCTAAATTATCATTTGTTTCTTAAAAAATATATCACCATCGCCATTATGTGAGTGGGGTCAAATGGAAACTAACTTTCATTACTTTCTTTGAATGGCAATCGCTTTTGTACATTTAGAGAAACATTATTGAAGAAATCTAAATAATTTCGATATTACCCTCAACAAACCCTACTTTTTGGCAACCCGGACATCTCAGATACTGATAATGCCAATATCTTTAAACACAATGTCCACACTTTTATCCCAGAATCAAAGCGATTTCTCTGAACTTAAAGTGAAACAGTGAAGCAATCTTTCTTTTCTCTTTCTTTCCTTTTTTTCTTCCCTATTGGTATTATTTGTTTTCCTCTCTTCTTTTTTCGTTATTATAATTTCTAATTCTTTTCCCGATGATTACTTTATAAATATAACGTTTACTTCGTCACAAATATTTACATTCCACTTTTTGATAATTGTACAAAATATCTATAAAATCGACTCATTATAAAGTTACAACTAAAAGGAGAAGAATTTTATAAGGGACTTAGTCTTTCGTTCTCAATCCTTTTCTTTGAATATATATTATATATTTGTATTCGGATTGTATTGGTATTATGTATTATCATGTAAATATTCGGGAAATAAATATGGGTTTTCAAACTAAACATTTACTCATTATGAAAAATATATGTGCAACAAGTGTATGTTTGTATTCCTAGCCATGTGATAGTCCCTAATTCTAGAAGGCAGACGCAATGCTTGGGGACGAACACGAGTTTATAATTCATGAAACAATACCCATGACCACAGTTTCATTAATATGGCCAGTATGACATAAGAGCAGGAGAGGGACCTCATAAGCTTTACAGCTTTCTGCCCCAATCCAAAATTACTTTGTAAAATTATTGTTCACATGTAAAAAATGTTTGTTGAATAAAATATGTTTAAACCAAATAAGAGCAAATTATTAGCGCAGCATATAGTAAGAAAGACGTCAACAACCAAAGAGTAATGTTACATAGGATAATTATAACAACAAAAGAAACGGTTTTGTTCTTAACACTCAGCACTTTGAGTTTTACCATTTATACGTGTTAAAATCAAAAGATACATTTCACATTCTATGATATAACACAATTTTAACTTTTTGTAATGTATTTAGAATCCCAATTAATCACTATTTTTAAATAATCAAAAAAAAAAGTAGCATATGCGTAAATGTGTATCTTTCTTGAATGATGTTTATTACTATTATATTTGGATAAAACTTCTATTATTGTATTCGATATAATCATGTTAACTTAATTATAAAGTCAAAGTCAAAGTCAAATTTCCTTTATTACACACATTTCATGTTAACATGAATAAATGTTGTTAGTAATAAATACAATGTTAGTAGTGGCTCTTTAAACAAATATAAAATGTATATATAATTTGAGTGGTGAAATAATTCGTAAAAAGAGTATTTATTCATATCATTTGCTGAACTGCAGTACGTTCAATTAACAATGTATCAAAACCACAAATTGTTAAAGTTCTTAGTAAATATGTTACCACAAAAAACCGTGGAGAGTCACGTAATTTAGACACTTTTTAAGGGTATAATTTCGTTTTAAATTACCTTTCTTTTTATTTATCGACAAACGATGAGAATAGTTACAAAAAAAGAAATTATAATATAAACAACGGACAAGTGATGTACAATTATGTACGACATTATAACAACATCGACTTTCTATTCTTCTTCATTCAAATAAAATAATTATTTCGTTACCAGTATATTTGGTAAAATAGAACGCATAAAGAGAAAGAGCATTTTCAAAATAGAAATCAATTTGAAATTAAATGTCAATTGGTAAACAGTACGTCAAAATAAAATTGATAAAAGTGTTATACCCAAAGTTGTTAGTTGGTTTAGACTTCAATTTTTGTTTAAAAAATCAATATGCAGTTCGATAATGTAGTAAAATTTAACATTTTATTAACCGGCATAAAATATTTACAGGATAGTAACGTGACATGATTTTTATAATTATTAAAAAACACTTGAGATTATTTTTATGTACACAAATGCTAAACAGATCAATTGTATGACGGAATGTATCGAAAAGGAAAGTAGAAGCTCTTATGGATATCATTAAACTATCTATTTTTAAAGTACATGATCAGTTTAAGGGGTATTCCGGAAGTAAATTATGTAGTTAAGTTTTATACATACTTCACGGCTGACATATTACTACAAGTGTCATATACCATAAAATAGATAACTTTAAAGTAAAACAATCTACTTTAAATTTAAGAAAAGTATTTGGATCGAAAAGGTGAAGAAACAGAATAACTTGTTTTAACTTTATGTGTTGATATACAATAAATGCAAATGAATTTATCACAAATAAAATATTACTACAATGTTTAAAACAAAAACGTTTAATTTTATACATTTATAAAACTGAGATCAGACATAGCATGCAAAATAACAATACTATTTCCTAAGGGTCTTGCGGTAATAAGATTAGATGATTTTATTCATATATAATATATCATGATATTTTTTAATCAGTTTCTCGTTTTTGACATAATTACTTAAATATGATTAGTTTTGAGATTGCAATTATATGATTAGTTTCGAAAGCAGGAAATTCATACATTGTTTTCAAACACACACGCTTACAATTAGTCTGAATTAGATCAGGTCCGTTGAAAAGAATACATAGTTATTCCTGGCGGTTTACATAAAAGTGTATGTACCGGAAGAAAACTATCATTTGATTATTCAATCTGGCTTATACTTTATCTAAACTGCTGCATATAGTATTATAAGCGCTTTTTAATAAGCTGGTCAATAAGTATCAGGTAGCATCTGTTTATCACCAAACATTTCGTCACTCTGGAAAGACGACTTTTGTTCACAAGTTACTCTATGTCCGACAACGTTAACATGATCACTAGAGCAACCAATTGGGTCGGATCTTTCACCAAGAAAATGGTCGGATGCTGCTATTGTTCCATTTTGCATTTTTGTTCCATTTAACTCCGAGTGAATAGAGCCAACCTCTGAGTTTTCAAATAGTATATTTAATCTTTGATCTGTATCTGTGTTAATTTCATTTCGTGCACTGATTTCTTCTTTTATTTCGCAAATATTACTTTGAACGGGACTTGGAGAACAAAGTCTGAGGGGGGAAATGTCCGGTAACATTTCATTCTTTGCATCGGTGTTTGAGGACATTTCAAAGATTGCTGTTGTCTGAGGGTACGTGTCTGAATTTTTGAGAACGTAATTGTGTGACGGATTTTGTTAACCCGTTTAAAGCAAATTGTTCATCTATGGCGTTGTCATTTAGACGAGTATTTTGGTGTTATTCTAAAGATTTCAGGAGGAGTAAATTGTGACTCTTATCATTTGAAACTCGATTGATGATTTGTTCATGGTATTCTACAATGAATTTCAATTCTTCAAAATTTCCCTCATTCGCCAACTTTCTCGCTTCTGTAATATCGTCAATACATTCGTTTATGTTATCACTAAGGTCGCTCAATCTTGCCCTTGCGGTGCAGAAAAACATCTTTATCCTTGTTTCAAACACTGCTCCCGGTGCAGTCAATAAGGCTTAGAAGAGAATTGTGCTTCTATCAGGCGTTCTGTGTCAACAACACAACTTTCGATGACATTTGCCCTATTTCCCAGTCCAATAAGACAAAATACCATTCGTAATATAAACATACGCCTCCATAGAGTTTTCGTATCTTCGTCTTCATTTTCAAGGATTGGAAGCCCGACTCTACCCCACATCATAAGTTGCTTTTGTAATCCCTCTGATGGATTTTTTTCAAATTCCCAAAGCTTACAATAAACCTCTATGTAAAACATATTAACAAGTTCTAAGCAAGGACAGATGTATTTTGCCTTGCATCTTGCTTCAAGTAAAATGTCCTCGCTTTTACGGAAATTCCCAGCAATTGAGTGTGTGTAAGCTAAACGGCTTAAATAAACAATATCTGATAAAGATGTATTGCTTGTTTTAGCAACAAGTTCTTTCATCTGCATAAAAACATCATCTTCATGAATTCTGTTTTCGTCGAATTTTATAGACATTGCGTCAATTTCTGCCGCAATGATTGCTACACATTTGTCTGCTAGAAGCTGTTGTCTCATGTGATTTGTTTCCCTTTGCATCTGGCCAATGAATCTATTAGCCAGCTGCCTGAGTGCCGATCTGGAATTTTCAAATTGGGCGTCATGGACCATATGTTTCAGGTTCCTGAACAATTCACGAACTACTTGCCTTTGACCGGATGTTGACCTAGGAATAGATCTGAAGCTTCCAGAAATATATGTCAGAAATAAATGACACGCTAACTCTTTATAACCACATTCGTGAAGTACTCTCACAAAATATTCTAAACTCATATAGTAAGGAATGTTTTCTAATAAATAATCAGATACCCGCTCCTTTGCAATGCCTGTTGCAAGTATATCCGTTATTTTTGAGTATGAAGACCCTGTTAAAACACCGTACCTGTACAGCTTTAAAGCAACATCTGCAGGATTTATACTGCTTCGAATTTCATGTTTGTAAAAATACAATACATTTCGTTCACGTGGTGTCATCCATCCAGTACGTAGTGTGGTCCGCCAAGAAACCAGAAGACAGAGGTCCCTAAAAGCTGCTTCTGTAATAATGCCATAAAATTTTATAACATTCTGATAAATATTTTTACTAAGCAAGATGTCGCTCACCAGGATAAAAGTCGCAAACAAACATGAATTGGATATGTGTACTTATTGTAGAACTGCTTGTTAAGTATATTTATAGCATATTTTACAAGTTCATATAGACGTACTAACGATACTATCCAGTTCTTAAATAGTATTGATTAGCACTCCTGTCTTAAATAATATAAGGTCAAATTTACGCTAAGAATTTTACATAAATAACACATATGTGGTAAGAACTTTACACATTCAACCCGATAAACAAAAAATGGCTTAATTTATTTACTATTTAGCTATTGTGACAAAACGTTTCTAAATGAGAAAAATCTTATTCAATAAATTAAACATGAAAAATTGAGAAAAAAATTGACTGCTGATCTTTTTCGGTACACTTTGACAGTGAAACGTTTTGAAAAACGAAATAAACTACAGTGTATACATAAACAATATATTGGTTAAGAGATAAATGTTTAAACTTTACCGTCCATGTCGAAAATAATTTTAAATTCCAATGAAGTTAATCTACACAATTACTGTAAGATTTTGTTTTAATATAAACCTCTTCCTAAACATTGTGAATTTGCTGGGTAGTATCCCACGGTTTATATTCCGTACATAAATATAATATACTAGTAAACGGAATATAAACATTGGGTAACCGACAATGATTCATCAAATTATCAAACTATTTTAAACACGAAAATATATCTTGTTTACCTTTTGACAATTCCTTCTAATTTGAAAATGGTAATTAAAAATAACTCTACTCAAAATAGTTGTTAACGCTGCATTAAATAAACTTGATAAAAAATAGCTACATTTCGTTTATTAAGTGTGTTTCATATCGACTGCCGTTCTTATTTTGGTGTCTAGACAACCAAAATGAGTTTTATAAGCCTAACATTCTACAACCTCATTGTGGCAAAATTGGAAGTATAATTTCTATTTCCTTTGGGTCATCCGTACATTAAAAGAAATGGAACAAACATTTTTAAGTAACAGTCCGAATATAACGGTATATATCCGCAATATATTACGGATGATTTATACAAAATCTTTTTTACCAGATGATTATTTTTTTGTTAACGACAGGGCAAATGCTCAGTGAAACTAAAACGGTAAAAGTTTGTTTGCATAAGAATATCTCATATTTGCTGTGATCCACATGGTTACAATTGATTTTCTCACTATGACATAGCGCAAAAAAGAGTTAATTATACTAGTCTTCATCTGCATTTTAAAATTCGTATACGAACTTTAGTGTTACCATGGGGTTTTCCTTTTAAAATTATTACTTATGAACAATTTTTAATGAGATTTACAACAATATTATTAAAAATGTTAACAGAACTATGGAATATTTGGATTTAAGCCGACGGAAAAAATACGTTTACATATTTTTTTAATGCAGCTTTAAATTTACATCTAAAAGTCATTATATATGCAAGATGTACGCACAATTAAATGCCAGTGGTATCAAACTATATAATATCGCTCCGCTTTGCACTTTCGTAACCAGGGCCACTACCCCAAAATTGGATTGGCTTTGCTGAAAGTACTAGTGCGGACAGAGTTACAAGTCATGACAAAAGCCTTACCAAATACTAGTATCCTGGCATTTGTTTTGTAATATTCATATAATCTTTCATGTATTTATGTTTAGAAGAATAGTTGCAATAATGGTATCAAACTAAATTCATTATTTTTTTTATCTTCAATTAAGACATTGTCTTAAGTAATGTAACTTAATATGCGTCGCAAAATCTGCATGCACCGCATACGTAAAATACGTTTAGGGCAGAGCCATGTTTGAATTAAAGATATACTATGCTCAAATTTGATGTTAATATATTTCTTATTGCTACCCATTTTGTAAATATAAAAGAATATGTTTTGACTTCACACAAAGTAGATATGTTTTGTCACTACAGGTGGTCACGATATGAATATATAGTCATTAAAAGAACTGGAAGCTTTTTAAGAAAAGACCTACTTTAATAGACCTGCAATACGGTACGCAGCTCCCCATATACAGTTTATTTAATCTTTTAATCAAATTAGACATATTCAGGAAGAATTTCATAGATTTTAATTAATTTCTGTGAATAACATATTTTATAAGGATGAGCATATTATATCTTTAAGTATAATGGTTCGTATAGACCTTTTTACGACGCGGTCCGTTGCTATGAAAAATTGACCGGAAACAGTATTTTCTCGCGCATGCGCAATTTGCGTAGGGAAAAAAGCGTTGCCCTACAATTGAAATGTAGTAGAAGTTCATTGATAATTCCGAGTTACTTTAGGGTAAAATTAGAAAATCATATAAAATAGCTTTTAACACAAGCATAAAAGCTACATTTATAGCTTTGTGGCCATATTGCCACAAAAAGGCACGGAAAAGACGATTGTTTCAGAATTCCCCCATAGAAGAAGAAAAAGAAAAATTTTTTTTAAAAATTCGAAATATAAATAATAATAAAGAGGTCAATTTAATTTTTTAATTTTTAAAAAACCAAAGAATTTTATAACAGGTTATTTTTATTCTGAAAATAAGTCGGGGAAAAAGTGAAAGTATTTTTTTTTTCACCACCAATTTTTTTTTTTTAGAAATTAATTATCCTTTGAAAAAAGAAATTTTTAAAAAATCCCATTTAATTGTTATCACAAAAAAAAAATTTATGTATTTAAAAAGTAACTTTTTCGCCAAACGCGTTTTAAAAAATATTTTTTACAGAAAGTAAACGGGGGGGGGGGGTTTTCGGGGGAATTTTTTCAGTTAAAGACCTAGCGACTGTTTTATTTTATTTTGGGGAAATTTTATACAGATTTCCGATACAGTTTTCACCCCGGGGTTTACAAATAAAAAAATGGGTTTGTTTTAACGCCACATTTATCATAATTTGTGTCATATCCCGTAAGTCGATCCATATTTCCGGCTTTCCTGGCTAACTAAACAGTAATTTTTCAATTTATCTTTATATTTAGTTGTCGTTACCTACATTTGCACCATATTGGAACAATAAAATTTGGAACACGAAGTAAACCTAGTATGTACAATAAAAACATAAAATACTTCTCATTAGCTTATGTATTGATTATGAAAAAGAATCAAACTTTACCTGCCATTTCTAAAGTATAACTTCCTAATGAACACAACAAAACAGTTCGATTTTATATGATATAACACGCTTTCTCCGGAAATATAAACGCAAAATGCAGACAGCTGCAGATCGATACCCGATATATAACTTGTTTACAGTTATTGCATATGGATGTTTTAATGTTTGTAAAACCTACATGTTTGCAAGAGCATATATCCATTTTGTAACTTAAATCCCATTATGTGCTTATATACTTTTTATAATAATACCAGAATATTGAAACTACACCATATAGATTCGCATCGGTCATTCGTTTCAACGCCAATAACCCCAAAAGGCGGTGGCTTTGCGAACGTCTGAAACCAGAAAACCCGTGACAACTTCCAGCCTAACAGATGAAAGAATCCAATATTCTGACTGGCATGTTCAAATTACCACCCATTCCAGGGACACTTCATATCCATAAGTAAGCAGTATACCCACGTGCTCTTATTGTTTTGCCTTGATCTTTTTTGTAAGATACATAGAATATAGAATTACACTGGTTATTAATGTCAATATTGGCATACACTTGGCATTCTGCCGGTTATGCGCATACAAAAAAAAAGAATGTAAATCCATAGCCAAGATTTAACTAGTTAGTTTTACGATTTAATAGGGTAAAAATATTATTCAAGTATCTATTTCATAATACACATAAAATGGTATTCCGGAAGTGAATTGTACAGCCAAGACATTATAGCTTCTTGAAGGCTGAAATATCATAACATGTTTACAGAAACATAATGAGTCATATAAAATACATATTAGTCAAAATATTAATTAAAGTAAATGGTGAAGTTTGGTTTCTTTTTTAATACAAAAAAGGAAAAACCAAATAGCTTAAACTATTTATACATAATGACGTTCTTTAAAAATGCATAGTATATCGTATATCCGTAGTAGATGATTATGATCAGTTTCGAACACAAATTAATCACCTGTTCTGTTCAAACACCTACGGTTACAAACTGTCAAACAAAAATTGTGGCGTTAGATCAGATTCTATGAATAGAATAATTTCTTACTGTAAATATCGATTGATAGCAAGTTAACTTTTATTTAGTATCACCGAGATAAATTCAGTGGATCATATTGTAGGTTCGTATCGTAACTATTATCGACCGTCTGTTGGAACTATATTGAATATACTACATAGAGTATGCACGCTGTTTAAAAACGTGGTCAATAAATATCGGCATCTGCTAGTCTCCAAACATTTCGTCACTCTGGAAAGACCACTCTTGTTCACTACTTTCTTTTTGACCGACAACGTGTACATTTCCTTTATTGCCATTAGATTCTTGGGTTTCATTAGAATTTTCTTCATCATGACGTCTGTTCACTCCACTCGTTTGAACAGCATTTGGTATATTTGCGCTAGAGCAACCACTTGGTTCGGATCGTTCACCAAGTATATGGTCGGATGCAGAAATTGTTTCATCCTGTATCATATAATATCTAGGTACTCCCTGAAAAGCGCCAGCAGGAATAATCTCAGAATTAGCTGTTGAATCTATGTTAATAGAGTCAATATCTGATTCTGGAAAGAGTAGATCTAATCTTTGATTTGTGTCGGTGTTATTTTTTTGCGGTGGACTAATGTCATCTTTCCTTTCGCCAATGTAATTAAAAGTGGGAGCACAAAGTCTTATCGGGGACAATAAAGGTAACATTTCACAGTCTTGCTCATTACATGTGATAATTTCAAAGCTACTTTGGCTTGAGCCACACGTATCTGAATTTATGAGAACGTAATTGTTTGATGGATTTTGCAAATCCACTAAAACAAATTGTTCATTCTTGGTTATTTCAGGCGCTGTATGACATAGATTTAATTCCAAACTTCTGATTTGGCAGAACGATGATGTTTCACGATCACGGAAAGATGAACTAGCTGAACAGCCTTGTGATGAATGCAACAAAATGTAGTTGAATTGGTTCATTGACTTGTCAATGGGTTCTCTTTGTGTCTTGTTACCTAATCTTCTTGTTTCAGTATTACTTTCATTTTGGCAAGTACCTGGATGTAAAGACAATTCTAATGACTTCAAGAGAAGTAAATTACGACTCTCATCATATCCAGCTGGGCAGTAAATTGGTTGGTCACTAACTGGAAAAGTACTGGGGGTCGTTTCGATGCATATATGAAGTCTGTCTTCAGCAGAATAATTTGAATCGGCAAACGTTTGAAGTAAAACAAAGTTCCTGTTCTCGTCTGTTGCTGCCAAAATACATTCGTCGTTACTGCCATTTAAACTGCCGTCTGATTCTCTCCTGAGCAGAAGACAATTCCCTGTTTGGCGTGATGTATTTCGCCCTGCTGCTCCCATGCGATTGATGATTCTTTCATAGTATTCTACAATGAATATCAATTCTTCAAAGTGTCCCTCATTTGCCAACTTTCTCGCTTGTCTAATGTATTCAATACATTCTGTCGGATTCTCTGTAAGCTCACTTAACCTTGCTCTCGCGACGAAATAGAACATCTTCCTCCGCGTTTCAATGCCGTACCAAGTGCGGTCAATATCGCTAAGAAGATCCCTTGCTTGTGTCAGGCATTCTTCGTCAATAGGACAATTTTCTATGACGTTTGCCCTATTTCCTAATCCAATGAGACAAAACACCATTCGTAATATAAACATGCGCCTCCATAGAGTTTTTGTATCTACATCTTCATTTTCAAGGCTTTCTAGCCCCACTCTTCCCCACATCATAAGTTGTTTTCGCAGTTCCTTTGATGGGTATTTTTCAAATTCCCAAAGCTTAACATATACCTCTATATATAACATGTTAACCAGTTCTAAACACGGACCAGTATTATATGCCCTACATCGTGCTTCAACTAATATGTCCTCACTATCATGGAAATTCCCAGCAATTGAGTTTGCATTAGCTAAACGACCCAAATAAACAACATCTGTTATAGATGTATTGCTTGTTTCAGTAACCAGATGTTTCATCTGCGTAAAAACATCATGTTCATGTAGTCGTTTGTCGAATGTTATAGCAATTGCGTCAATTTCTGCACCAATGATCGCAATGCATTTATCAGCCATCAGCTGTCGTTTCATATGGTTTGTTTCTTTTTGCATTTGGTCAATAAACCTAATTGCCATCTGCCTGAGTGCTAATCGGGGGTTCTCAAACTGGGCATCATGTACCATTCGTTTCAGGTTTCTGAAAAAATTATGAACTACAGGTCTTTGACCAGATGTAGATTTATGAATGCAATTGATGCCTCCAGTAATGTATGTCAGAAATAAATGACATGCTATCTTTCTGTAACCACATTCATCGAGTAATTGAACAAAGCTTTCTAAATTCATGCAGCTAGGAATGTTGTCTATTAAGAAATCAGATATCTTCTCCCTTTCTACTTCTTTTGAGAACATATCCTTAATAATTGAGTATGAAGACTCTGATAATCCACCGTTCTTGTGCAGTGCTGAGGCAGCAACAACAGGCTGTATACTACTTCGAATCTCATGTTTGCAAGAATTTAGTGCAGCAACCTCACGTGGTGTCATCATGCACCTAGTATTCGATATGGTTCGACAGGAAACGAAAGGACTTGTGTCCGTTGCCTCTGATTCTGTAAAATTTTATTAAAACAAAATACATTATCATTAACCATCTGGTGAGAGTATTTTTACTTAGGAAGAGATTTTGGTTAAACGAAATGGCAAAAAAGAAGAAATTTAGCAAAATGGTTATTTTAGTCTGTTCATAAGAGATAATAAATTATTCAGCATCATCTCTAGTGAGCTTTGGAGCAATGGATTGTTGTTACAATATTTTTCTAAAATGTATAATCTTATTAATTAAAACAAAACATAAAAAAGCCAGAGTCATCGACGTGCGGGGGCAACGCTCTACTTATTTTACTTTTCTGAAACCAAACAAATAAAAAGTTATATTTTTAATTTTTTTTCCCTTTTATAAATAGGTAAATATGTCAATTCAGCCACGCTCGTAGTTTTGTTAGAGCACGAATCATTTGTATAAAAAGACAAGCATTTGACATTGGCGGTAAAAGTCATATAAAGGTCACGGTCACATCTAAATTAATCAACATGTCCGTATAGCCATAAGTGTTGTTATGTCCACTTATGAATTAAATCCGTAAATAAATAACTAAATTATGACAAAATTCAATTATTTGACGCTAATGGTCAAGATTATTTAAAGCTCAATGTAAAGGTCAGTTCAACTTTTTAGAAGGATTTGTCAAAAGAGATAGTTTGTATAAGTATGAAGTTACATCCAAATTTAGCAAACCTTCAGTGAAAATGTAATAAGTTGACCTCAAGCTCAATGTCATACATGAGTCAATGTCAATTTGAATTTGTTATACATGAAGGTGTTATTGTAAAGGATTTTGTATCTATATATGTGGGGGTTTTTTTATTTAAAAAGAAATGAGACATTGGGCTGACCCCTAAGCGCTCAAAATGTCATAGCTAAATGTAAAATAAGCCAAAAAAGGTCACTACATCAAAATCTAGGTCAGCAGATATCAGTTCAATTTTACATCTAAAACTGTGCAAATGGTCTAAATTTCATAGGAAAAATGAAAACACAAGAGAATTCATTAATTTGACGTTCACGATCAAGGTCAATTAAAGGTCAATGCCACATTTAAATTTAGTTTAAGTCTCTAATTTGACCTTCAAGGTCAATGCCATTTATGAATGAATGTCAAGGTATGTCTAGTAAACTTGAAGGGCTATCCCTAAATAGTGTAGAAATCAAGTTTGAAAATAATTTATATAAAGATAATTTAGTTATAGCTACATACAGCAAAAATCAACCGAATTCCGAAATTTTTACCTTCAAGGTCAATGACATTTATGATAGAAGTGAAGGTAAGGCTGGTGTTTTTAAAGGTCTAGTTCAAGAAATAAAAATAAAACTCTGATCAATGTTAAAGTTTGCGGACGGCAACGGCACGAGGCAACGGCAGCGTGCGTGGCAACGGCAACGGATAGGTGTACGGTGACATGATTATAACCATTACTCTTTTTCATAATAAAAACACGACTTATATATCAGGTGTTCACTGTTAATTTTGTTATAATCTACGTTGAAATTTTGAAATGTTTTAGAAAATTAAGTACAACTTACTTTCAAAGTAGACATAAAATATATTTCTCGTTATGTTAAGTATTGGTTAGTTATTAAAATTTCAAATTTTACTTACCTTCCATGTCAAAAAAATATGTTTAAATCCTAATAAACAACTGTTACAATTTGATTTTTATGACAAAAAACGCCTTCTCATACAATGGAAACTTGAATGAGAGCCAAATAATTGCTGCGGTTTTGGTTACAATCAATATATACTTGTATAGCTATTTTAACATACATGTATTGAATAAGACGATAATATAATAAACTGTTTTTGTAAAATCCTCCCGGTTTAAATTAATCCACCAGAGTGGCACTAGTTATCAACCAGTCATTCCAGCAAATTTTATAAGCGTCTACTACAGGAATGATTCATGTTGCAATTAACATCTGTATCTCGGCTTTTCTATTGTAGTCTGCTGAAACATTAGTATGGCATCAGATCCTTTTTACTTTGTCTCGATCTTAGAAAAATGTTTATAAATACTTATTACTATTTTCAATAGACAAGATGGTAAGCGCTGTGCTCGCAATAAATGATACAAGTTGAATTAAATAAAACTTGCAATTAATGATACAGTCATAGGAAGTTCAAGTTGCAAGTGAATATATATCCCAGTTTGCATATTTGCACTACAAAAACGTAAGACAAATACATTTGTGATAATAAATGATAATAAACAGTCACGAGAGCAACACTGAATGTAAAATATATTTAAGTTTATCAATAATGACCTTCTGTAATGCAAAAAAGGCAATCTGTCAAAATGTGTAGCTGTGTCTTGTCAGGCCTCGTTACTGCCCAATGAGTTGGTCCCCTAAAAACGGATATTCCGATCCGAACCGCAACATATGGGTAAAACTAACGGAAACGCCAGTCTGATATTCACAAAGTATTATGGTTTTGTTTTGAAGAAAGTTGTGTTAGTACTGTTTTAAGTTATTTATTTCTTGTAAAAATGATTAGAATTAAGGGTGCTTCAGTTTGGTATTAAACAAAAACTTTGAATTGTATAGACTCGCAATGAATGATACAGTGATTCCGTTTACCCATTGTGGTATAACTAAGGACTAAATTTTAAAAAAGAATGCCCTTTTAGTATTATGTAAATGAGATATACATGTATATTAGTCATGATGAAAATTGTACGTAGTAAAACAGATACATCTACATTTGTGTAAATTAATGCATTATCGTCTAAAGACTAAATTATATTCAAAACATATATTCCAGATTATTTGTGAGACAAACGAACTGGCTACGTATACTGTTCTGGTGTTGAAGTTTAGTGTTTCGCGATATTCATGAGTACAATAACGCACATTTAGCCTTTCTTTATTGTTTGCTTTTCGGTATACCTAACACAATTGCCGAACTATATAGCTTCATAAGTTACTAGTTTTCGACATTTATTTCCACAACTATGTCTGATTTTGCACAATCCTGCATTATTTTAACAATTCTGCATCATTGGATATATACGATATGTACATTTTCTTGACCATATTACATAATGAAACCCCACGAAAAACACGAGAATATTCAAATAACACCTGATTTGTGAACGAATGAATTACAAGAGCGTAGCGGTTGGTATCTTCGAATGACTTTGGAAAGCTTTCTTAAACACGATGTAGTACATAAATAATTTGTTTCTTGTGAGTAATATTAATAAATACTGAGTTTAAAAATGATGTATGGATAGAAAAACAAAAGAGCATGTAGGTAAGATAGTTACCGCACTCGGAATAGGTCTGCATAGTATTTACAGACCCGGTGGCCTTTTAAAAACCTCGATCACTACGCTCTCTCGGTCTTCAAATCGCCACCCAGGTCTGTAAATACTATGCAGACCTATTCCTCGTACGGTAACTATTACTTACATATATTATTAGAAGCACAGGCACGAGAATCGGTTAATACTCGTGCATGTTGTTAGAACTATATGATATTAGTTAAATTTCGATTTATTTAAAAAAAAATAGTACTGTATATTTTCATTCAATACATGTATATTTCTTTGATTATGACCTACACGTAAAACCCAACAAAAAAAGGACTAAATTTTCTATTAGAATGCACAGTTTATATTATGTGAATTAGATATTCATGTATATACTCGTGTTCAAAATTTGTACATAGTTAAAATAGATACGCGTTCATTTGTGTAAAGAATGCGTTATCTTTTTCTTAGTAAATGAGTCTTAGTGAATAAGTCACAGTTTCTTTATCTATATGACAGTAATAAAGAAAATATATGATATTCTGATTATATCATATACGATTGCTTATCATATCTGTGCAATTATGTTCATTTGATTATGTTTTACATATTATAGTGAAATACCAAATATTTGACCGCTTGTATTGGTTCTTATAAATTTACTTAAAGAAGTGATTGCACGAAACAGTATACATGTACATGAATATATTGTTATGTTAAATCACTGTCTTATTTGTATACGTTGCATGTCTATAATGCATAAGGTTAAGAATACAATGTATAAATAACACATTAAGTATAGGTAAAATTGTATCCGGAGGAAAACGTGTAGCCTAATGGATAAACTGCGTGCTTTTCTTCAAAAGTGTCTTCTTACAGACGGAAGAAGACAATTCGCTCGGAGAAACAACAAATTGTCCGAAGCAAAGCGAACTGTCTTTACGTCTGTATGAAGACACTTTTGAAGAAAATACGAGTATCTGTATCTGACTAATACGGCCCTTAAGTGTCACGAACAGATAAATTAATGAACACATTTTAATTATAAATAGATTTTATTGAAATTAAATGTATGTTCACGTTGAAATTATAAAACTATTGAAAATATTTGCTTGGCCTTTGGGCAATGTAAAGTGTATCGCATCGGACAGAATTCACTTTCATTCAAAATGACTGCGTTCATCAGAGAGATAAATTGTGTCATCATTGTCAACATTGAAACCGCCTGCATGTTATATGGATAACGTTTTGAACCCCAAATTTGGTGAGTTTCCTTATTCACATGCTTAAGTTTCCGCAATGTTCAACTGTTTATGGCCGTTGATTTTTTTTTTAAATTGCGGGTAAAAAAAATGGTTCCTGTGACTGCCTAGTGTATTCATTTTGAGGACATTTACATAATAATGAATGACAAAAATCAAAACGAAGAAATACAATTTTGCCTTTGTCCCCCTTTAACAGTATAAATAACTCCCAGTGACCTATGAGAAATTAACATTACACAAAAATCGAGGAGTAATAATACAAAATATTTAGTCTCATAGTAAACATGAATTAGCAGGACTAACTCTCACTGGCTTATGGGAAATTAAAATTACAAAAAAGTAAGGGTAATGATAATAGATGCATAAATTAGTTTGCCTATGTTCGAGATTAAGTTTATTATTTTAATAAACCGTCGATTTACTAGACTGACTAACAGTGTGCTGATTTACCATTTTATGAGGACCATTTTTAAGTTTTTGGAAATATTTAATACTTTGCAAGACAAGTGTCTTCTGTTATCATCTGGGCCGCCTCCTGAGAAAACAAACAAAATGCAGAAAATGACGTCACCGAGGAAACGTTATTGAGTATTTGAAATTATTTTTGTCCAATAGGATTGCGGTATTTCAAATTAATCGTAACATATTTACTTTGGTAAATGGGCAAACTGTTAATCAGTGTAGTAAATCCCACGGTATGGGACCACTAGTTTATGCTGTATGCCAAATATCAGGAGGCTGTGATAAGTAGTTGCTGAGAAAAGTGTTACAAAAATGTCTTTCCATTGACCATTAATGCTGAAAATTTAACTATGTCGATAAACAGGAAGTGGATGAGCGATAGATTTGAAATCGAATCCCACAGTATGGGACCACATGTTAATGTTGAATGCCAAATATCAAGAGGCTGTTATAAGTAGTTGCTGAAAAAAACTGGTAAAAACTGATACGAAAATTTCCTAACATGGACCATTAATGTCGTAAATTTAACAAAGTCGGTAAACAGGAAGTGAGTGACAGACCTGAAATTGAATCCCAAAGAATGGGACCACTAGTTAATGTTTTATATGCCAAATATCAAGAGGCTGTGATAAGTAACTGCTGAGAAAACTGTTACGAAAATTTCCAATCATTGACCATTAATGTCGAAAATTTAACTAAGTCGGTAAATAGGAAGTGGAAGAGCGACAAACCTGAAATGAAATCCCACGGTATGGGACCACGTCTGATTATTGTATACCAAATATCAAGAGGCTGCAATAAGTAGTTGCTAGGAAAATCGTTACGAAAATTGCCTACCAATCACCATTAATGTTGAAAATTTAACTAAGCCGGTAAACAGGAAGTGGATGAGCAACATACCTGAAATCTGGGACCATGTCTCAATGTTGTATGCTAAGTATCAAGAGTCTGTAATAAGTAGCTGCTGAGAAAACTGTTACGAAAATTTTTACCCGCCCGCCGTCCATCATTCACCATACTATAACCCGGATTTGCACATGTGCAACCTGGCCAAACTTTAAGTTAAATAACTTGCACAACCAATTACAATGTATATCATAATGGTACCATCAACATGATCAAATGATAAAAACGTTTTCGTGTTCGACTAATATTTGGTTGATCTGCGGTAACTTTTTCGAAAACAAGCTTTATCAAATGTTGTTCTTTTAGAAAAACCGTTAAATAATGTCTTATCTTAATAGGAAGTAAAAGGTATTTAATTCAGTTTAGCTATATTGAACATATTTTCTAATTTAACTGATTGATGGCATATCTTTACATAAAGAAGTACACAGTTGAAATAAAATAAAAGAAAAGTTATTAATGCGTTCCAGAATAAAAAAGGAATTT